TCATCAACGTACTCGAGATCTATTATGAGTACTGCTGGGTACTTTCGACTGAGTCGTCGTGTGGTAGTATATCCCTCGCTGCTGTGGAGAACGACGTTCCTCTGCGTCGCATAATTCACCGCCATATTAAACAACGGAGGTGAAGCCCCTCTCCTTGGCGCAGTCTACTGTTGATATTAAACAGGTCCGATGCCTCTTTTGCTCTGATAACATCAATAGTATCTTCGAACAGTCCATTCAACAGGCAGGGTCATGTTTGAAATTTGGTAAGAAATGCAATATCCTTGAATTGAATTACAGCGCTGGCTTTGAATGAACAGCAAGTCGACATGCCGATTTAAATCTGTAATGTGTCTAAATAGTAAGCTGCTGTCACTATCAACTACACTTAACAAAGTCAGACCACAACCACGGCATGCCCAAAATTAGGAGGTGTGGTTGTAGCTATGTTTCTCTGTTATGTCAGTGGTTACTTGCTGCTGTAGCAAAGGAAAGGCATTAGGATGTAAGATGGTGCGCCTATGGTGAGTGTTCTCATAACGTTTATGTGCCTCAAACTTTAAATGTTAAAATTTGCTCATATTGTCGAGAGAGTTTGTATTTCGATGTATAAAGGCAGATTACTTCAGGTGATTATTTATTTTGTGGTGTGTTCTTAAACAGAAGCTATAATATAAGAAACAGAATGATAGTGTCTAGTTTCTCTATCATTACCGATATGCCATCCGGATCTTTTCTTTGGTTTTCATTAGGGTTATAGCACACCTTTCATCGTGCTCCGAATACCCTCTTATCATTAATGTACACAACGCCTCAAATTCTGTAGTCAAGGTTTGTACTCTAGGTATTCTTTTCCAGACGGATTTGTGTTATGTACAAGGAGATGTTGTGCTGTACTCTGTTTGCTTTTGCCGTATTACCAGTCTTTTTCATGAATTCGGCGCAGGCCTTTATGGCTAACGCAGGGAGCAGGAAGAATTCATCCTACGGTGTTTTCTTTGACATTCTTAAATCCTGGTCCTTGATTGTCATCAACTCCTTACGTGGAAGAAAAACGGAACTTATGAAGAGCTGCACTCCCTTAAAACATTTGCTTTTGATTGTCTTAACAAGTAAACAATATAAAACACTTTATTAATGCACAACGCAAACAAAGTATGACCAATTGGATAAATGACCCCGTGTCTCATGAGCCTTCTTCGAGGTAGGAAGCTGATATAGTTTCAGAGGTTCTTTGTCCGCAATCAGAAGACAAGTTTTTGATCCATGTCATTTGTTAAATAGTGTTTCAGGAACAAGGGCAGCAGGGCCCATCTAATCTGAGCAGAGTTCGTATCCTTTGTCGTCTTCGACATTGTTGCAGAACTGGATGAACTTCTTCTTGATACGCCTGCGCAGTCAAGGCCAGATTTTGATGTTATCCGTAAACTATGATTTTCGGGGAGGGGGGCATGTCCATATGGCGCCGCATGCTGCACAACCCCAAAGAT